AGAACAAACCTATGATAGTAATGCTATGGTGGCATACTATGATGAAGAAATTGAGGAATCCTGGCGAGGCGCCTCAGGTTAAGACGCTGGACTCTAAGGTTGGTTTGAGCTATAAGGTCAGCAGTTGAAGCTTGCCAGCCACTCCTCTGAAACCCAATACAGGGTTGCTATGAGTCAGAACCAACTCAACAGCACTTAACAACAATAACAACTATATTTAGGGGGAGACTATTTCATTCCAATATAGATCTATGGAATGATAATTCTCTAACCTTCCAGAATAGTCAAGTAGACAGTGGCATACAAATGTTAATAAAATCATCAATGGCACTTCAAATGGAGGCACAGAAAAAGAAAATGATTTTTTCCCTTCCTTAACAAACCAATGTTTCTACAGCATGACAGAGTTCATAAATTATCCTGAAACGCACTTTTTAATTTGGAAGTGCTAAAGTGTTGGCAGCATATTTGTTCCTAAATTTATAAAAAGGTTCAAAGTTCTCTAGGCAGAAGAAGCAAACTTTGCTTTGAAATTTGTATCTACAGTTAGCTATTTCCGTTTAACTACGGCAAATAAGCAATATGCCTTTCATTGGGTGCTTGCTTCAAACTCTGTTACTATATCTTTTCCTACCAATGGTACTGGAAAGTCATGAGCCCATTTTTCTGTAAGAATGTCAGATCGTAAGTCAAGCCCTCTTCTCTGCCTACAATATGAGACCAGTGTGTGTGCGCACAATACACACACAACATCAGTTGTTTTGGCAGTTGTTTCTCTATCAGACAAATGTCACAGAATTAATAATGTGTCAAATTCCATATAAAACAGGATATTTATATTTTAAAATATAATTTCATTTCTCCCATTGCGTCTCCTTCTGTGGTTATGTTCATGATCTCTTTGGCACACCCTTTCCCCTGTGTATTAGGAATTTAAAAGGGGCTCAATCAGTGCTCCCAGGAAGGGGTCTAGTTAGCCACTTCTCACCCAGTCCTAAGATTGGGGAATTCATTTGTAGGTCAGGAAGAAGAGCTTCATCGTAGCAGGATACAGCAAAGTAAAAAAACCACACAGTAAGACTCAGTTGAAAACAATCAGATTTAGCAAAGGGTTACTAGATTAGTCCAGTCACCTCACCTCATGATACCACTGGTCCTTATTAAAAGGTGCCGAGATATATGAGATAGAGGCGAACATCAGGCTGCTCTGAACACAAGGGAAAGTGATAGCAGCTTTCTTTGGGAATGTCACTAAAAAACACTGCACAACCAACATGTATTCTAACTTCAGTTGAAGGAAAAGATGCTGCAGATGACTGTACTAACACTGGCCTGGAACCATCTTTGCCCCACGTGAAAATGTCCCTTCTAGTACATTTGTATCTGCCTTGTTTCTTTTTTTTAGCTAGACGGAGTGGGTGGCCAATTATTTTTTCATTCCCATCTTAAGTGTATGAGCATCTTGTCCCAGATTCATTGTCATTTTGCTTTCATCCAATAAGCACTATGGTTGCTTTCAAGAACAAGAATACAGACTGTTGTAGCAAGAACTCTACATTCAGGTATATTAACAGCAATTTAAACCATTTTATCCGTCTACCTGCAATCCAGTGTTGCTCTTCCCCACTGACACGGTATCCACAGAGGTGAGCAGGGGCAGCCTAGAAGTACTAGGGCTAATAAAAGGTCTAGAAACTACGAGTCAAAGTCAAGCCATAAGTGTGAGTGCATAAACTTCGGGTCCACAGGGTCCCCAAGATTACAATTGACCGTGTATTGCTCCAGGAGGAAAAGGCAAGGGCTAGTATTATTTGTTTCTTGTTTTAATTTGGTTTTGTTTTGCCGATGAGAGGAATGTTAAGGTTATATGTAAAATACAAAGGATGTTAGAGTAGGAAAGGTCCTTACTGAGCATTAATAATGATGGTGCCATGGAGTCTGGTTTGCCTAGAACAGTCTTAGTTTATATCTTGTCAGTTATCGTTAAAAGTTCTCCCTTTCATTCTCAAACATGTCCTGTTTGGGATGCTCAACTGCAGGGTTATCTTAATTATAATAAAATGCCCTCTTTAGTTAAGTAACATCGAAAATCACATGACCAAGAGTAAACTGTGAACTTTTTGTGGGCAGGCTTATGTCTTCATGTCTTCTGAGGGCAACTGCCACTTATATATCAGTTTGTTGTATTGTGGTGGTTTGTGTGTTGCTGTGATGCTGGAAGCTATGCCACTGATATTTTAAATACTGACAGGGTCACCCATGGTGGACAGGTGTCTGATGAACTTCCAGACTAACACAGACTACGAAAAAGGAGAGACAGATTACTTCTGAATTAAGAACAGCTGAAGAACACTGTCATAAATTATGCCTGGAGATGAAAACATTATTAATAGCAGAACATTGTGAGACACGAATAGCTACAGAACATTGTTGGAAAATTTCAAAGGGTGGCTCAAGAAGACAAAGTATTATAATGAAATGTGCAAAGACGTGGAGTTAGAAAACCCAAAGTGAAGTACACACTCAGCACTTCTCAAGCTGAAAGAACTGAAGAAAAAAATTGAAAAAGAGGAAGACCCCAATGAGATGGATTGACACAGTGGCAGAAGCAATGGCCTCAAACGTAACAATTATGAGGATGGTGAGGACTGGGCGGTGTTACGTTCTGTTGCTGAGTCGGAACTGACTCGATGGCACCTAACAACCTAAACAACACTATAGACAAAGATAGGAAGACTTGAGTTAAAATGTGAACTCTTAAAAAAGTAAAATTGTGCTCATGAATTTCAAATGTCATTGTTGGAAAAAAAAAAAATTGGGGGCCAAACACCCAACCAAAGGCATACTTTTTTCCCCCACTTTACCATGTTATCCTTTCTACATATAAGGTTGGTAATTGGACAGAAAGAGTGGTGTGGAACCTGTGGATTTCACTAAAGGACAATACAATGAATGACATCACTGCTTTTGAGCTGCCCAAACCCTTGCAATTTACACAGGAGTAAATCATGCTTTGAATGATTGTGCAAACTAGTCAACTATCACTCCTATTTCATGGGAAACTGCACTCCTTTTCCACATCTGCTGTAGGTATATTTTTAACTAGAAGTAGTGGGTTCTACTACTACCAATGGAAACCACTTGTTTCCAGTTCCGTCTTAGGCAAAAGTATAACCGCCTTGTTTCCATGTACAATATATTTTTGCTTCCACTCACAAATAAGTATTACAGTTGGAATTAACCCACCCTGGCAAAAATTAATATACTCCAGGAGGAATTTTTCAGTTTAAAAATGAGGATAATAATGAGTAAACTATTCTATTTAGAAACTGAACTTACCAGAAACTTATTGCTGTTTTTACCTACTAATATGCACTTTAATTTTATTTCAAGTTGCGTACAAGTAAAGCTGTTATTGAATCACAAGCCTGACTTCCATGAAGTTCGAACTCCAATTTTATAAGTTTGTTAACAGTAATAAAAAACCACCCTGTTGTGACATTTTTTAAAAAAGAGAAATAAAAACCATGGGCACTGATGGAATTTTCCTATTAAAGACAATGTCTTGAAATCTCTAACTTAGAAGTAAGCTAAACACATTGCAAGTGAGTTGGTTAGAACGTTACAACTCCTAGAGACCCTGCAGGGCAGAGTAGAACTGCCTCATACACTTGCCAAAGATAAAAGCCTTATGGAAGCAGACAGTCAAATCTTTTACCCTCAGTGGATTTGAACCACTGATCTTTTACTTAGCAGTCATGCTCTTAATCAATGTGCAAGTAGGACTTCTTAGAAGACATGCTACACCCATTTAATTATCAGCCTAGTTTAAAAATGCCCATAAAGATTACCAGCTAGTCAATAAAACAGTAATATACAGAAAAAAAATGCACACATTAGCAATCACTATTCTTGAAAAGAATCTACTCACTCCTTAATAGCATAAACCAAAATAATGATCGTTTTTAATATAACTCCATCTTGTGTTTTTACAACAAAAGGGAAATATTTGTTTCTCTTTAAGAAATTAAAGATATTTTCATAATTGATCTTTATTGGTATATGTTCTGACAAGTTTTTTTTTTTTACAATAACTTTAAAGAATAAATAAATAAGGATGTATATATTCAGAAACTACATAAGCTAACTGCTGAAGTAATTAATAAGCTATAGTTAACAAACTTTCTAAGGACAAGTAGAAAGTTCCTCTCATATGAGATTAAAGTTGAATAATAATTTACTTTAAAAGTAATTATTATCCTTCAGGAATTTATGATATTGACTATTTTTATAGACAACAATACCATTAGATGCATTATCATTTATTTATGCATATATAAAGATTTCTCCAGTTATAGTAGTAAATTTGTATTGATTCAATCACTCCACTGATATTTTTTTTTTTCCCATCAATAATATATTTGCAAGAATCTTAACTAAGGTTGGGGAGTTAATCCATGAGAACAAAATACAAAGAGGCAACGGGCCCATGTGAAAATTAAACCCATTTGTTCTTCCAGTTGAAATAAGTAACGAGAAATCTAATTTAATTGGGTAATAAATTTAATAAATTATTAAAGAGAAAAATAGGGTGACAGAAAATCTTAACTGAAAGCACACGACCCCTGTATGTAGTGCTCAGGTTAGCACAACGATTTGACACTTGTTAGGAAATGATGAGACCCACAGTAATTCAACAAAAGAACAGAGACTTGTAAAGAAACAAATATTTCCCTTTATTTAATTACATTACATCTACTCAGGGCACAGTCAAAATAATTGAAATGCTAAATTCACAGACCTACCAAACAATGCTATGTAACTGAAAGCCAGCCAGCAAATAGCAAAATAGAATTGAATAGCTTATTTGTGAAAGGTAGTTTCCACACCAACTCTGTTAATTAATAGAGTCTAGCAGTACATAGGAATTATCAGCATTTCAGAATCAGAAGAACAATGCTCATTACAGTACTTTAGCAACAACAGTGAGTTTGCCTTACTCCTTTGCCAGCTGCACACTGGTAGGCTTTGCTCCGATAGGTATGCCGTATTTGTGTAAAGTGCTAGTCAAAATCTCTCTCATGTCGTTGTTGTAGGAATCAAAGTCAAACACATTCCTAACCACACTGGAGATACCTTCATTGGGGAATTTCTGTGTTAAAAAAAGAGAAGAATTCCCTCATTACACATGAGATAAAAAACAGATTTATAAAACTGACAGGTTTCCTACTACTCAACTGAGCTTTAGAAGAAACTTATTGGCCTTGTCAGATAACCAGATACTAGGAATATATACATCTTTCTCTTCTAATGTTTGCTCAGATGACTTAATACTGTTTTCCTTTTTTAAGTAAATATTCGGATTTGAGGGTGAGCCGTTCCTTATTTCAAATGTTGAAGCAGTGCTCAGACCCCGGGGTTTGGTAGTGGCCACTGCTCCCTGAAATCCCAGCCTTTAAAGGTCAATGTGAAAGTATTAAGTGATTTTTTTACTTACAGTGTAAGTAAAGTTTTTATTTACAATATAAGTAAAGCAGAATGTGAATATCTACACAGAAGTATTTAGAGAGGCCTGTGAATAAATGAACGAAGGTTAAAGAACAAGAAATGAAGGGAAGAAGAATTTCAAAAAGTACAGGGATCTGGAACTAAGGAATAGGTAAATTTATACTCCAGAATTGTCACAGCTCTGTCTTGACTTTCTATAGGAAGAGCAATCTGAGTTGGATGACTTGTATTTATCAGGGCTTTACAAGCTTTCTATTGTCCTTTATTGACTTTTCTTGGAGAGTGGAGGTGTGGAAAGGGTCAAAGGTCAAAAGTCATTGGAAAAGGACTGCTAGATTAGAGATAATTATTTTCTATGGAAGTTGAATTTACATATGTTTTTTTGTTTTGTTTTCTTTAGTGAAGCAGGCTAAATATTGTACAATGGTCTCAAGGAATTTCATTCTCTTGACCACTTACTTACAAAATCTTGTAAAACCTCTTTGCAATATTTACAGGTTAATACTATTTGTTTTTCTTTTCATCTTTAAGTCTTTTGCTTTCAAAATGAAATTTTTTTTTACAGGGATCCCATATACTTGTTGTAAAAAGTCAAACAACAGAATAGGACAGTTTTACCATTTTTCCACCCACTTACCCACACAAAAGGAGCTCTATTGGTGTGGTGGTTACGAATCGGGCTGCGAACCGCAGTCAGCAGTTTAAAATTACCAGCTGTTCTGAGGGAGAATGATAAGGCTTTCTGCTCCCGTAAAGATTTACAGCCTTGGAAACCCTGTACAGGGTCGCTATGAGTTGGAACCGACTCCATGGCACATAACCACCGCCACCCACACAAACAAACAAAAAAGCCGAACAACCCAAAGTCTGCACTAAATGTCCTAGCTCCTTGGTAACGGACAATTTAATGGCTGAACAGCTGATGTTCATTGGCTTCCCAGATTTATCATTTAGATCACACACACTTCATCTGCATCACTATGTTCATAGAAACCAAGAGTCCTGGTGTAAATGACAGTCTGAGCAAGCTAGATTGATGGCTTCTTCGCAAACACCAAGCACATACCTGTAAATGTTTGACTATGTTGACGACTTCTCGAGTGGAATAAGGATAGTTGATTGTCCCCTGGTCAGCCAAGCTCCTCAGTTCTCCAAAGGCAGCCACAAGCTTCTGAAGAATTGGCTCAGGCACATTTGGTCCGTACTGTCTGAGCATCTCAAGCTCGGAGTGGGGTTTAGGGTTATCAACTGCATGGCAGCTAAAAATATCACCTGAAAGAGAACAAGGTCCACTCTGAGCATGCAGCTAAGTCATTATAAAGCCAAGGACAAAACAGAACAATGGTTCAAAGAACCACTGGCTACTCATCAAAATGCTTGTATCCTTTTATGTCCATAAAACTGCCCAAGAAATCCATCCAACAACAGGATGGGTACATAGAAGAAAGCTGATGACTAAAAAGAAAATTGGCTGACACGTGGTTCACTCTACATGGATTTTTTTTTTTCTGTTAAAAAACTATATAATACTTGAACACATACTCACTGAGAGATATTAAAAGGAACAAAAAGGGGAAGGTTCCGTTATGTCTCTGCCAATGCCACTTCCTAACATAAGCACCAACGTTACCAGATCAGTGTATTTATTCTTCCAACGTGTATTCGTACTTTAAAAAATACATGCAAGTCTTGATGGTTTATTCTTATTCCATCAGTGGGGAAATATATACCATCATATAGTTCTGAGATAGGCCTTTTAACTTTGACAAATCTTGCTATCTCCAGGAATTGTATACATCTCACATGAATGTTTCTTTATGTGTAATGAAAAAGGGCGAATTAGTGTTATCATTCTCTAAATAATTTATATTACTAGATTTTTCTTACAGTTTGCTTTGGCAAAGTAAACCTGAAAATATGCTGTCTAAATTAAAGAGGTGGAAAAGGAATTTAGAAATAAAATATTTCATCTATAATTTAGACCATTGAAAGGTGTTAGAAAAATACAACTTATGCTCAAAACAGGGGTGAATTTCTCACGAACTGGAATGTTCGTGCACTGTTGGTCAGAGTATAAAATGCCACAAGTGCTTTGAAAACAGTTTGGCCATTTCCTAAAAAGTGAAATATGCACCTACCGTTCCACTCTTAGAGACTTAAGAGAACTGAAAGCACAATACCATACAAAGACTGGTACATGAATGTTCATAGAGGCTTTATTTGTAACTGTTGTTCTTAAATGCTGTCAAGTCAGTCCCGACTCATAGCAACCTGGTATAGGGTTTCGAGTAGCTGGTGGATCTGAACTGCCGACCTTGTGATTAGCAGTCCAAAGATTAATTATCCTAGTGCCACACCAGGATTTCTTTGAAATTAGTGAAGAAATACAGCAAAACTCAGCAAAAAAAAAAAGGAACAAACTACTGAAACAGACTATAGCATGGATACACCACTTGTATGTCAGTTTGTCTTACTGTGGTGGCTTGTGGGTATTGGGCGCTATGCCACTGGTATTTTAAATACCAGCAGGGTCACCCATGATGGGCAGGTTTCAGTGAACCTTCCAACCTGAGATAGACTAAGAAGGAGAGGTAGCCCACTTCTGAATGGTTGTTGTTGTTATATGTCGTGGAGTCAGTTCCAACTCATAGCGACCCTGTACAGGGTTTCTGAGGCTGTAAATCTTTATGGGAGCAGAGCACCTCATCATTCTCCTGCGGAACAGCTGGTAGTTTCAAACTGCTGACCTTGTGGTTCGCAGCCAGATTCGTAACCACTACACTAACAGATGACTAGGACCTCCTAAAAACTGGACACTTATTTGCATCAAAAGATTTCATCAAAATAATTAAAAGAGAACCCATAAACTGGGGGATGGGGGGGCGAAATTTTGGCAATGACATAGCAAACAAGAGATTATTCTCTAAAATTTAAAGAACACTTGAACACCTCAATAAGAGGAAGGCAAATAATCTAATTTAAAATGGGCAGAGAACATGAACAGATGCTTCATTGAAGAAAACATTTAAGCAGCCAACACACATGTAGAAATGCTCAAGATCATTAGCCATTGGTGTGGTTGTTGTTAGGTACCATTGAGTTGGTACCAACTCATAGCGACCCAGTGCACAACAGAACCAAACACTGCCAGGTCCTGCGCCAACCTCACTATTGTTATTATGCCTGGGCCCACTGCTGCTGGCACTGTGCCAATTCATTTCATTGAGGGTCTTCCTCTTTTTCTCCGACCCTCCACTTTACCAAACATGATATCCTTCTCCAGTAACTGATAATATTCCAAAGCATGAAAGATGAAGTTTGACCATCCTGGCTTCCAAGGAACACTCTGGCTGTACTTCTAAAACAGAAATGTTTGTTCTTTTGGAAGTCCATAGTATTTTCAGTATTCTCCTCCAGCACCATAACTCAAACACATCAATTCTTCTACTTATAATAATGTCTTCCTTATTCACTGCCCAACTTTCACAGGTATATGAGGTTATTGAAAATATCATGGCTTGGATCAGGTGCACCTTAGTCCTTAAACTGACATCTTTGCTCTTCAACACTTAAAAGAGGTCTGTACAGCAGAATTGCTTGATGCAATACATCGTTTGATTTCTTAACAGCTGCTTCCATGACTGATGGCTGATCTGAGTAAAATGAAGTCTTTGACAACTTCAATCTTTATATGGATGTTGTTTATTGGTCCAGTGGTGAGGATTTTTGTTTTCTTTGCATTGAAGTGCAACCCATGTTGAAGGTTGTGGTTTTTGAGCTTCATCAGTAAGTATTTTAAGTCCTCTTCACTTTCAGGAAGAAGGGTGTTAATAATGATTCTTCCTCATTATTAATAATTGCATGTTGTTAATGATGAATCTTCCTCCAATCCTGATGCTACATTTTCCCTCATGTAATTGCAAGTTGCTAATAATGAGTTTTCCTCTAAACCTGATACTATGTTTTTCTTCATGTAATTCAGATTCTTGGATTATTTGCTCAGTATACAGATTGATTAAGTATGGTGAAAGAATACAACACTGACATACACCTTTCCTAATTTTAAGCTATTTAGTATTCTCTTGTTTGTTCAAACAATTGCCTCTTGGTTTATATATAGGTTCCTCATGAGCACAATTAAGCATTCTGAAATATTCATTCTCTGAAATGTTTTCCATTGCTTGTCATGATCCACCCAATCGAAAGCCTTTGCGTAGTCAATAAAGCACAGGTAAACATCTTTCTGGTATTCCCTCCTTTCAGCCAAGATCCATCTGACATCAGCAAAGATATCCCTTGTTCCACATTCTTCTGAATCCGGCTTGAACCTCTAGAAGTTCTCTGTCAATGTATGGTTGTAGCCAGTTTTAATTTACCTTGAGCAAAATTTCACTTGCATGCAACATTATTGATATTTTCCAATGATTTCTGCATTCCATTGTATCATCTCTCTTTGTAATGGACACAAATATGGCTCTCTTCCAGTGAGTTGGCCAAGTAGTTGTCTTTAAAATTTCTTGGCATAGATGAGTGAGTGCCTCCAGTGCCACATCAGTTTGTCAAAAGGAATCAATTTGTATTCCATCAATTCTTGGAGCCTTGTTTTCTTGCCAATGCCTTCGGTGCACTATGGACTTCTTCCTTCAGGATCATAGGCTCTTGATTATATGCTACCACTTCAAATGGCTGAGTATCAACCATTTCTTTTTGGTACAGTGACTCTGTGTATTCCTTCCATTGTATTTTGATGCCTTCTGCATCATTAAATGTTTTGTCCAAAAAATCTTTCAATATTGCCAATCAAGGCTTGAATTTTTCTTCAGCTTGAGAAATGATAAATGTGTTCTTCTCTTTTGGTTTTCTAACTCCAGGTCTTTGCACAGTTCATTGTAATATTGGACCTTGTTTTCTAGAGCTGCTCTTTGAACTTTTCTATTCAGCTTTCTTACCTCCTTATTTTTTCCATTTGCTGTAGCATTTCTATGCTGGCGAGCAAGTTTCAGAGTCTCTTCTGACATCCATTTTGGTTTTTTACTTCTGTCTTGTCTTTGTAATGATCTTTCACTTTCTTCCTGTGTGATATTCTTGATGTCATCCCACTAATCTTCTGATCTTCAGTTTTAGTGTCTAATGCATTACATCTGTTCTTCAGATGATCTCTAAATTCTGGTGGGATACATTCAAGCTTCCTATTTTGTTCTCATGGATTTGTTTTAAATTTCTTCAACTTAAGTCTGAACTTGCATATGAGCAATTGATGGTCTGTTCCACAGGCTGCTCCTGGCCTTATTTTGGCAGATGATATGGAGTTTTTCCACCATATCTTCCCACAGATGTAGTCAATTTGATTCGTAGTCAATGCGATCTCCAGCATTGTTTTGATCACCAAGGCCATATTTTCCAACTTCCTCTTTGTTTCCAACCTTTGCAGTCCAATCACTAGTAATTATCAACACACGTTGATTGAATGTTTAATCAATTTCAGACTGAAAAAGTTAGAATTCTTCAGTTTCATCATCACTGGCTTTAGTGGCTGGTGCATAAAATTTAATAACAGTGATATTAACTGGTCTTCCTTGTAGGCATATAGATATTATCCTATCACAGATAGCATTATACTTCAAGATAGATCTTGATATGTTCTTTTTGATGATGAATATAACACCATTCCTCTTCAGTTTGTCATTCCTGGCACAGTAAACCATATATTTGTCAGGTTTAAAGTGGCCAATACCAGTCCATGTCAGCTCACTAATGCCTAGGACAATGATGTTTATGCTTTCCATTTCATTTTTAACAATTTCGAATTTTTCTAGATTCATACTTCATACATTCCATGTTCTGATTATTAACGGATGTTTACAACTGTTTCTCTTCCTGTTGAACTGAGACCCATCAGCAAATAAAGGTCCCAAAGGGTTTACTCCATTCATGCCATCATGGTCAACTTCACTTTGAGGAGGCAGCTCTTCCCCTGTCATATTTTGATGAGGGTGTCATCTTTCGGCACTATATCTGACAATATTCTTGTGCTGTTCATCATGTTTCATATTCAATATTGTGGTGTTGACAGTGTTTCATTGCTATTCATAAGGTTTTCAGTGACTAAATATTTGGAAGTAGTCAGTCTCTTCTTCTTTCTAGTCTGTCTTTGTCTGGAAGCGCAGCTAAAACCATGGGCAACCCTACTAGTGTTTAAAATACCTGTGGCATACCTATCAGAATCACAGTAACAACCCAGCCACCAGAGTAAGACAGATGAATGGTGGCATTAGTCATTAGAGAGATGCAATTCAAAACAATGAGATAACAATCTTTCCCAACACTGATAACAAAGTTCAAAAACGAGAGAACAGCAAATAAAGGCAAGGGTGTGGAGAGACCGGGACCCTCCTATACTGCTGGTGGGACTGTAAAATGGTGTAACCACTGTGGAAAACCATATGGCGCTTCCTCAAACAGTTGGAAATAGAAATACCATATGACCCAGCAATCCCTGTCCTTGGTATATATCCTCAAGAAATGACAGCTGTGAAATGAATAGATAAATACACACCCAGGTTAACTGCAGCACTATTCACAATAGCAAAAGTATGGAGCCAGCCTAACTGCCCATCAGCAGAAGAATGGTTAAACAAACTTTGATACGTACAATGAAATATTATGTAATGCTGAGCAATAATGATGAATCTGCAAAACACTCACAACATAGATGAACCTGGAGGATATTATGCTGAATGAAATCACAAAAAAAGACAAATATAATATGAGATCACTGTTGTAAAAGTGAATAAAAGGATTTCTTGCTAAGGCAAATTTTATGAGGCTTACCAGGAGTGGTAGGGAAGGGAAAATTATTTACTGGGTGGAGGGTAAATACATGCTAACATGAGTGATGGAGAAGGCAGAGGAAAGCTGGGAAAGAGAGAGTTCAAGTAAAGAAAGGTAAATATGGCGCACTGATGGTACATGGAGGGAAATGTAATCAATGTAATGACACAACGTGAATGATTTGTTGAATGTGAGACTGATGATCTCTTCTGCAAACCTTTACTCAAGTCACAATAAAAAGTTTGAAAAAGAATTTATATTCACATTTGCTTGTATAAACAGAAAGAAGCAAAAGGCAACATCATTTAACAAAAAAAAGGTTATGTTTTACAGAGGGGTTGGGAACAGGGCAAACGTGGATCAGATCTGGGAGCATTTGCATAGAAGATTTATTGCTTCATAAACTACAGGATTGTATTATATATTTAAAGTATTAAATTAAGACACCCAAGGACAATGAAGCCCTGACTCCTTTGATTTTTATTTTAGCCCTGAAGCTTGTATGGTCAATTTTAACACACGATGGCACATTTGTGGTTTTGTCTGTCCTGCATAAGATGGGCATACACTGAGATGATTGTGAACTTGCACTCTAAATTCCCTGAGACAGTCTAATGAAATAGTAAAGAACAAAGATTCGATAACCACACTTCCTGGTTCAGAAAGAAATCTGATACTTACTAGTTTTGTAATTTGGGCAAATTACTTAATCTCTCTACACCTTAGTTGTACTCCTGGTGTGGCGCTGTAGGAACAGCACTGGGCTTCAAACCACATGGTCGGCAGTTCAAACCTACCAGCTGCTCCTCGGAAACTCTATAGGGTTACTATGAATGGGAACCAACTAGATGGCACTTAACAACAACACACTTTAATTACTTCCTTAGTAAAACCAAGAGTTATTGGCAAGATTATGAATTAATTCATATGAAGTGCTTAAAACCATGTTCAGTTCTCAGTAAGGGCTTACAGTATAGTAGTATTATTCATTTTTATACATGGTATGAGAATAATGTCTTATACTTAGTGAAGAATACAGACACTTACCTGGGTTAGTACATAAAGACCTGCAGTAAGTACTTGTTGCCCAGTTACATTATGAGCTCACTATGGAGAGTGAGCCTGCTTCATGCTCAGTATGCAAGTCCAGAACGACTTAATGCCACAGAGAAGACAAATCCTTCTGAAAGGCTCCGAATGGTTTAATTTACCCAAAGCCTCTCTAGTCTATGTGAATTCATCTCCTCAGAGTTCACCTCAAACCTTTTTATGGTTAAGGGATGTGACCAAAGCCAAACACTAAACAGTATTTCTTTTATTGAGTTTTAAGGAGCCCCCATAGCACAGTGGTTAAGCTCTCGGCTGCTAACCCCAAAGTCAGCAGTTCAAACCCACCAGCTGCTGCATAGAAGAATGATACAGTGGTCTCCTTCCGTAAAGATTTGCAGCTTTGGAAATCCTGTGGGCAGTTCTACAGAGTCAGAAATGACTCCATGGCAGTAAGTTACTGAGTTTTATTCCCAGAGCACTAAACAATTAAAAGCACTATAATAATTTAAGAAAACAGGCTCTGTAACCAGATAGAAATGATATGAATCTCAGCTCCAACACTCATAAGGTAAGTGACTCTAGGAAAATATTCCATCTCAGACTATCAGATAGTCCCCTTCTCTAAAGTGGGGCTAGCAAACAGTCCCACACAGGGGTTCTGATGATAACTCAGTACAGCACGTGGTGAGCCCCCAACAACAGCCATTCCAGCAGGTTACTGACGGTGTTACTGTTACTGCTACTGCTGCTATCATCATCATCATCATCATCACTGCTTTACCTAGTGTACTGAAGAAATCATTGCCTAGGAAAGGAAACCCAGGTCTGTTGGCCAGAACGATCATCCTAAAATCGGGATGGATCACGACAACATTTTCTCTTCCATTTACATTAGCCGAATCTGAAAAAAGAAAACTTACTATTTATTCTCGAGTGAGAAGCAATGATACTTAAGAATAAGAAGTTAAAGCCTTCAAAATAACATACACAGTCACACTGCTTAATTAGTTGTTTTTTTTAAAAATAGACTGATCAAGCATACACCCAACTGTATAGCAACTTCCATTTTCATATCAATTCAGTACATCTTAAAAGCAAATGTCAAAATTTTGTCATACAATGATCAAACCTGTCTGAGATCCTGTCACTCCTTAAAAATTAAGAGTTCCATAACAAGGGATAATCCACCAATTCTTTCATTTTTATCAAATCAGTTGCATCACTTTGCACATAACCTGCCATTTTTTTTTAAATTAGATTATGCGCTCCCCAACACAACCACATAAAGTTAAGCTCTTCAAAACCTAGTTAGCTCATTTAGATAATGTTAATATTTCCAATCAAAGGTTTGTATTTGAACTTGCGTTCTTAAAATAAACTATCTCAAGCGGATTGGAGGGTCTTCTGTCCAACTGTTTAATTGGTTAATAATCCACTGGGCTGCAAAGTCAGTTTGAACCGCAAGATCAGTGGTTCAAACTCATCAGCCGCTCCTCTGAAACCCTATAGAAGGTCGCTATGGGTCAGAACCGACTAAACAGCACTTAACAACAACTACAACATGCGCTTAACAACAAACAACAACATAGTTCTATGGTTGGTAGTACAGTGGTTACACATTAGGCTGCTAATTGCAAGGTCAGCAGCTGAAATCCACCAGTCACTCCTTAG